CCCCCCGTCGCCCGGGGACCGTGATCCGATCCCTCTCCCCTCGCTGCGAGTATTGCATCGCTCATGATCGTTTGTGCACCGTGTGGGGCGCCCCAGACAGTTCTCCCCAGAAACTCCCTGGTCCCGTGCGTCGGGCTTGTGACGCGTGTAGCCCGCTCCATCGTGCTTGTCTGCGCTGGCGGTCTTTTGCAGATGCGTACAAGGCTCGCTCCGCGGCTCTGCACGATTTTTCCTTCGAGTTTTGGGAGCGTCAAGTCGAGGATGGCGAGTTTGCGCTGCTACGTCCCGATCCCCGCTTCGCTGATCTAGTCGGGCTGTCCGCATCGGTCCCGTACCGGTCCTTCTTGTTCTCCTATTTGCCCCGATCAAACGAGGATCGGTTCGGGCGGAGCCCAACCCCGACGGTCGGGCCTTCTTCGGGCCGTCGTCGGCCGCCCGGTCGTCCTTTCGTCAGCGTCTTCTCGGGACTCCTCCCCGCCCCGTGCGAAAACGAGTTCGCACCCCGCCGCCGTCTCCCCCACCATCGTCAAGTCGGCCCCCGCCGAGGCCCCGCCCCACTTTCCGCCGGCCGGCCTCCCCTGTCGCGAATCGCTCGTTAGGAGAGGCCTCGTCCCGGCCATCCGTCCCCTGCGGGTGAGACCCACCCTCTTTCTTATCCCACCATGGGTTTCCAGGTGCCTTCGTTCCCTCGAGTCTCCCTGTGGTTCGGGAGGGGATGGGACTTGGATCGGGCCATTGCCGAGTCTCGCCGGTTGCATGGGGACCCGTCGGTACCCGCCGATCAGCGCTTGTCTCCGTTGGGCGTGCTGTTGCTGCAACAGTCGGCGGTTCATTCGGCCGACGGGGGGCTTCCCGGATGCTCGGACCCGCGCACTCGCGGAGTTGTCGTCGATGCGTTCCCTGGATGCAGACCTCCGGTTGGTGAACTCGCTGGGGTCCCTGACCGCCTCGCGGGACGTCGCCGACGTGTGCCGCTATCTGGGCGCCCTTCTTCTGGCTATCCACCGGTCCGAAGGAGAGAGGTCGGGATTCTGGGAAACGCCGGAGGGTTTAGAGCGTCGGGCCGCTGAACGAGAGGTATATGCGAATGTGTGCCGTCAGGACGGCCTGAGCTTCGACATGATGGACCTGGATTAGGCTTCGGGGGTCGTTCGTCGTCTTTCGGCGACCTCGGCCGGAGTTCCCCGTCTACTGGGTCGCGGCGTTCGGGTATCCTCCTCCTTTTGTTTTGCTGTCATTGTTCGCGCTCTGTCCAGTCGGCCCCCTCCCGTAGGGCGCCCCCGTGATGATTCGGACCGTATCGTGTTTGTTTTTGGTCTGCGTGTTTTTTCCCCTTTTTTTGTATTTTGGCTGTTTTGTAATCGATCGATTCGTCTTGCGCTCGTCCGTTGTGTGATGGGTGAAGAAAGAGTTTTATTATTAGGGGCAGAGGCCCCGCCACAGATTAAGTAGAGCAGATTACGAGAGAGATAAGAACGGGCCCCCAGGGCCTTCGTGCGGAGGAGGGAGGTGTCCCCATTTCGTCAGGCAGAGTGTGCCGGTGGCCCGGGCGGTCCGAGACGATCGTCGGATCGGGTTCGGCCGTCGGGGAGGGGCGGGGAGTTGTTGAGGCGTCGGCGCTTTGGCGGCGGGCCCGGCGCCCTGGGCCGGGCAAGTGTGTTCCATGTGCCGATGGTGTTCGTCCAAGGAGACCCGCCTAGGGGTGCCCCACTTCAGGGCGGGCTCCTTTCTCCCGTAGAGGACGCGGTTGAAGACCACGGGCTGGGCTTCGAGGGTGCGTCCGTATAGGTAGGCAAGGGAGGCGATGACGATAGCCACTATCGTGGCCCACGCCGGGAGTGCGATGACGGTGGTAGTGTCCATTCTGTTGCGGGTGTAGGGGGATCGCTTAGATTCTGTCAGACTGCGGGTCGGGCCGTGCAAGGACCTCTCCTAAGAACGCGCGCCCGGAACAGAACAGACGAATAGTCGGGCCCGCAAGTATGGCGGGCGGGGTAGATCGAAACCGAAAGGGCCCGTGAACTCGGTCCCTTGCCGTAGTCGGTGGTCGAAGGTTCGAATCCGGGTCGTGTCGGGCCCGATGAGTCGATAGCGTCTCCTCGCACGGAGTAAGGTAGTTCTTCAGACGATCTAAGCGATAGAGTACAGGGTACACTATCGCGCATTATATACGCGGGCCCGCAAAGGGGGTGATCGGACACCCTGGCCTCTCCTCCTCCTCCTCACTCCCGTTCCTGGCCGCAGAGGGGACGATCGCACATCCCTTGCGGGCCAGGCGCTACTCCTGACCTCCTAGCACTCCTCCCCATTCCCCTGGTGTCGAAGTTGGGCTCGGCGACGGCTCGACGCGTCGTTCTCGGTCACGTGCTTCCCACGTGTGCGTTCCTCCTACTGGGGCGCATGTTCCCCGTCGTCACGTGCTGCGTGTTACGGGCCCGCAATGGCCCGACACCAGCGCCGGAGCGGACGGGCCGGGTCTTATCCGTGACATGCAGTTGCCTACCAGCAGCATTTTTTGGTGGTTAAGTAGGCAGTGCTATAGCTAGTGAGATATATCCCCTCTGATGTTTGCAATATCGCATATGATTCTATAGAATGAAGCAGTCTCATTTTACAAATAAGTATATTTTTTTCTGGGAAAAAATTAAAGCCTTTATCAACAACCAACAAAACTTTTTTCCTGGACAACCCAGGCATCTGCATCGAACCAATAAAATTACTTGTAGCAGTCACTAGTCGAGACAAGCCAACTAGTCAGACTCATGTTGGACTCATGTGAAAGGTGACAATCCACATCTATCTAAACTTGCAGCTCATAATTTTGTCATTCAATCACAATCTAGTGTGTAAATCCTCAGGCTTCCACTACTTCATTTCTCTATGTTAAGCATTCAAATGAAAATAGGAATACAAGCATAAACAGTAGTCAAAGTTCAAACACTATTTATTAATACTTATGGTAATCAGACAATATCCAGCAGTTTGTTGACTGGTATCAAACATAGGGTCTTATTCTATGAATATATTTATGTAGTTGTTTAAAAAAAAAATCAGAATGTCTCTTAACAACCAGGAGTCTGTATTGAACTAACAAGGGCTAGTCACACATGTTGATAGGGCCACATAACGGACTCATATAGCAGGCAATCCACATCCATATAGACTGATTTTTCAGGGTTTTTCAGAATCAAAAGCCTTTATCACCCAACTAACAAAACTGTTTACCCTTCAAACATCTCAGGAGTCTGCATTGAACCAACACAATTACTAGTAGCAGTCACTGGGCAAGTTGACAAGCAACACCAGACAGACTCATGTCACAGGCAGCAATCCATCTCCATATATACTTGCTTGTGAGACATATAGCATAAATTGTTACTGTACTATTTTACTTGATTTGAATGGCATTTTGGGCATGACATCGCATACAAAAATTTGAATTCATATGATTTCCTTATTTGGAAGTTCTTGGCGTCTTCCGGAAAATGTGCAAAATTACCGCTTTAGGACATGAAATTCTCAGAATCTCTGTGACATGCGAAATTTTTTTGTATAATGTTATAGGTATGACAGGTGACATTCGAAATGAGTAAAATACTACAGTATCGGTAGTGGCAGCAAAGCGCCGGTCCCCAACTCTGACGCCCTAAGTTGTCTCAGATGACAATTGGATGACAAACCACAAAACCCCAAACACAAATAAATGTCATAGTCACTGCATCATCTGAATTGATCGCAACCTCGGACGCAAATTTGACTTGCAATTATACTTGTGGGAAAGCTCACTGATCGCATGGAAACGAGTTTGGCGGGGAAATTACTTAATCAAGACAAAACCTTAGCGAAAGGGTCTCAATTTGTGTTAGCCAGCCCTAAGGCCTTAGAGGTCACATGCTTCTTGAGTCAGCTGTCTTACAAGGCCTTACCAAGGCAGATTTTAATTTTCTCAACTCACTAAGTGATTCTGCCCTTGAACATGATGTGGCACACACTTTGCATGGAAGGAGTCCTCAAGGTAGGTATTATAGCAGGCACTTGAGGAGGAGGAGGAGCAGCAATATATGTATTTTGTAGGGCAGCTCAATGCTAAAACAGTGACCTTGATAATGGAACATTAGGAGTAGACAATTCAGAGGTGTATAGAGCAATTCTAGAGACTAACACATACACAGATAAGAATTTCCTTTTTGGGACACTAAGCCCTCTAAGGCCTTATTTACTCTAAGCCTAGGCCTTAGGCTAAGCCTTAAGGCCTTAGAGTGTTTTGAGGGTTATCAGTAAGGGCTTAGAGCCATCACTGAATACTGTTTGTACCGGTACTTTCTTCAAGGGGGCCTACATAAAAGTCGCCTTCACACAGTAAATAATTTACCGTAAATTCAAACCTTTCTTTTCACATAGAAACATGAGTACAAATTTCACCTTTTAATAGATATTTCCTCATCAGAAAGAAATAAGATATTTTATCTGAATAAAATGGCAGATACCAAAATGATTCCTTTTCATCTATCGTTTAGGACCAGAGAAAGACTCTCTTTTCATCATAATGAAAGAGCAATTACTTAAAAGACTGCCATTGTGTACAACTTTCCATCTATGACAAATTGTGATCTTTGTGTTTTTGCAAAAAGGTCAATCGAAATTAGGGCTTTTGATATTCCTTTTTGTGTTGCACAAAGATATCATGATTGAGAAAGAGTTGTAAGAACATCACATGCTCATGGATCTGTGACACCACTGATTTGATATATCTGTGGAACTTAAATAGCATTTGGAAGTACCCCATACATGTTTATAATAATTATATATAGTAGTCCTCTTCACCCATAGGGATCACCAGAGCCGATCCAATCGTCCTCCAAAGATCGAAGTTAAAGTACGAGGCAACGCATGAAACCTCGACTGGCATTTATCTATCGCCACATTCTACGAAGCCTAGAATTGGTAAATACAAAAGATACAACATGATTGTGTGGATATATACAATAAAGAGGCGCTAACTAAAAGGACGGCACTTGGTCGACAACAACCCTCGGTATCGGGCCATGATTGTGGCGCTCGCGGTCGCGGTCCCGCTTGCGCTGCTTGATGCCGTAGCGCCAGAAGGCCTGGCAGGTGATGACGAACGGGACGATGGTGACGGAGAGCGCGAGGACCTGGCCGAAGCCCCACGAGTTGTTGCTCGCGGGGCAGATATCGTTGCGTACGATCTGGAGCTCGGTGCAGATGAGCGTGACGAGGTACGGGGGGAGGAACAGGACGGTGAGGATGAGCAGGTGGGGGTCGAAGGGGAGCGAGGGCGGGGCGGTGGTCGTGGACACTGCGCGTGGGCGATGGCGGGAAGGAGGGGGGAAAGTGGAGGCATTACTCGCCGCTGAAGAGGGGGCGGCTGACACAGATGAAGTGAGCGGCAGCGACAGAGACAGTGGGTCGGGGCGTTTGGGGCTGGGTTTGGGTTTAGCTCTGCGGGCTTGGAGGCTCTGTGCAACAAGGGGCGGGACACGCTTCCACAGGAAGAGCCCCGCGACGACCGAGTATGCAGCCAGCAAAAGGCTCGTGATGGTCAATGCAATCGTGCGGCCGTGGCCGGTCGCGTTGACGCTGGCGAACATGACCACGAATATAGTCTTGTCCTCGTCCGGGCCCCCGTCGCCGTCTAGCTGGTCCGCTTGTGACCAGATGTACAGCACACAGCCCATGCTGACATACGTCTGCGCAATCGCGCAGTACTGCACAACGCGCGAGCCGCGCGGGTGGCGGTTGTAGGCCGCGAGGGCCATGAAAATAGCAAAGTTGGCGAGCCAGACGAGGTCCGTCACGATGATGGCCTGGTAAAGTGGCAGCTGCGCCTGGGCGGCAGTAACAAGCGCCGAGACCGCGAGCCCGAACGACGTGCCGAGTAGGGTCCACACGGAGGAGAGCGCCTCTTCAAGAGAGCGGCCAGTCAACAGCACTGTCCAAGGCATTAGAATGGACGCGGAACGGTCGGACTGCGACGCACCGAGCGCCAAAGTCTGCGCGTAAAACGCGATCCGCACCCCCAGCCCGGATATATCGGGATTAGCCTCTAGGCATTGTAAGGACACTGCTTGAGTGCTTGAGCTAATGGTCCACCACGCGGAGGAGCCCACTTACTGAGCCAGCGATGGGCGGCTATGGAGGAGTAAGAGGGAAGGGCGACATGGCATGGGAAATCTTTCCAAGCAGTGATGTCACACCAGTCACATATCCTATCCATTTCCTTGTGTTGACCAAGATCGCAAACTTTTATTTGATACGGTAATACTGGCAGTAGCACCACTAAACAAAAAGGGTACATGATAAGACCCAATACTAAATATCTCCTTGGAATCAATTTGGAAGAGATTCGCCGCAGTGCAACTTCAATGATGGAAGAACGAAACAACAAACTTGCAACCTTCGCGCTCCTATCGTTCGAAACAGATCTGGAAGGGCCCATTACCCATCCCGTTCCCCAGCTGGCCGACCACATTTTCCTCATTGGCGCAGTATACGTCGCCACTGCCCGCGCCGCTCTCTACTCGTCGGAACCGCTCGCCGTCAACATCGACATCTTCCTTGCTATAACGCTTCAGGCGATGATGTAGACCGCGCCGCGACACCGTCGGGTAAACGCACACCCGCCGGCCGCGCTTGTGGCACTGCCTGTCCCACGAGCACAATCATTAACCATGCTAACGTTTAAACCAGGACATACCAGCACATTCGGGGGCTGTTCTATCTCCCCCACTCCGAGTCGGTCGCCCTGCTGGCCAACGCGGACCGAGCCACACGCGATTTTGCGCGCGCGGCAGAACAAACACGAGAGCGGCTGCTGTGGCTTCGACTTGGGTTTGTTGCTCCGCGAAGTCGCGTTGGCGGCGAGTTGTGCTTTCGGGACAGCGGGCGCCGGGGGGACGCCAAGACGGGGCTGCCACTCGGATATGGGTGGCGGGGAGGGAGAACCTGAGAAAGCGGACTGCGCATCAGCATCGAGGGAGAGCGAGGGATGGAGGTTTGGTCGATCCATTCCGAACCCTCGGCGCGGTGGAGAGTAGCCGGGAAAGATTGTCGACAGCGGGATCAAGCTTTCGGGACTGGTGAAAGGAGGGGCCACATCAGCATAGGTCTCAGGCGGGACCTTGAGGCTGGGCCACGACGGCGGCATCGATGCGTTCAAGTCCCATGTAGACTGGAACAGAGCGGAATAAGCAGCAGTGACAAGAATAGTGCCTTCAAAGGCAAACTCACAGCTATCCCAAGTTCCTCCAATGGTGGATATATGCCAACGCCGCCGTGAAAGTCATCCAGCGCGACATGTCCGAGACCATACAACCGCGAATCTTGGAGCTGGTTGTCGAGCATCCCCATCGTCAACGGAAACCAGACCCTGCTCTCCGGGACAACTTGAAGGTACGTTGGATTCTCCATGGACGAACAAGACCGTGGCGTGCAGTGAAAGAGTACGAGCGCTTAGCGCCACCAAATAAGTAGCCACCGTTTGTGGGCGTGGCTGTTGTGTCGTGTGAAACCGGGTAAACCTGAAGCTGCAGATGGCGGTGAGAAGAAGTGATTGGCGCGGGCATCGATGTCGATTGCAGGGTCGACAGCTGGATTTTCCCCTTGGAACGTTCCAGCTTCCATACAGGCTGGCGGTGCCGCTGGCCCGAGAAGGCCGCTCTTACGCTACGATACGGCCTGGTCTATACGCATGCCGCCCGCGTCAGTTTCTGCTGCAAGCTTGTTCAGGGAAGACTTGCCAGTGGTCAACATGCCTATGACCCTTCCCTTACCAGCAGCCGTCGTAGCCTGCCACGCTGGACGGTAAGTAAGGCTTGGAGCGTGGATGTGCTGGCGAAGGTGATGGCTTATGAGTCATCACGCCATCATGCCTATCCGGAAATAAAATAAATGCCGATTGGATCATGTGAATAAGTACATCTTGGCTCCTCTCTTTTTTCCTGATTTTTTCCTGCTTCTCGGAGCTTAAGAGTGATGGTGGGGAATAAGTTGGGTGACTTGGGTCAACTTGTTTTGGGGTGGTCTTCAGGCCTTGGCTTGGCCTGAAAGCCATGACTCTGGCCTGGCTTTCCTTACTTTTAGCTTAGTAAATTTTGGACCACAAAATTCCTTACAACTTATGCTACATACATTCTCTAGATGTGTTTGAAGCTTTTCATGTAAATAAGTACTGTAGTAATTTATTCAATTCGGCGCCCCAAAATGGTGTGACATCAGCGCCGAAATTAAATTTTCGGCGCTGCCTGTCGATGTGTGTGACAGCCGAAATTTTTCGGCCTATTTAGCAGCCCGGAGGGCCGCCAATTTTTTTTTTTGATGCTTTGATGGGCATTTGACATTCGGCATCTGGCTGTGGGCCCGTGACATGCCAAAATATTTCGGCGCCGGAGGGCCGGTGTGACATGTGACTGCCGAATTGAATAAATTGCTACAGTATATAGATGCACCTGGGAATGAGATATGATTTTAGCTATCTGGATGAATGTCTGGGCTGTATCTGGTTAAATACTTGCTTGATCCAGAAAACACAAAATCAACATAGCAGAGAGTGATTGAATATAGCAGGTATAGCATTATGTAGCAATCCCATACTTCTATATTGCAAAACATATTACACTTTCTAAATGGACATTGAAGTGAGTGAGAGCTTCTGGTGCATTAGGCTCAGTGGGAGTATTGAAATATGGTCCTACATATTGTTATCTCCCCAGCCCCTATTATTTGTCATATATATATGACCTGTTTAATGCCCCTCCTCATTGGAATATATCTCTTTGGGCTCCCATCCCCTCTCTCTACCCAGTTCCAACATTATCATTATATAAGAGAATAACAAGATTTTCCATGCATACAATGTAGTGTGAGATATATAATCCCATAGGGGGACCCCTCTGTGATGGCTGTATGCTTCTTTCTCCCCTTATTCTATCAGGGACCCCTCATTTCTGATTGATTTCTGATTGAGTTATTGGGAGATTGGAGTAATATGAGATATGTCATATATGTAGGTAGACAATATGTATACTGACCCATTTCCTTCAATTAGGCCGGTCACGGTCACATGGGATTTTTTGGCCGAAATATTTCGGCGGGTCACGGGTCACAGGCAAATCTTTTGGTCCCAAAGTGTCCCAATTAGGATGATTTTCAAATTTTGCGCGCCTGCGGCGCGCCGAATTTCCTAATCAGGTAATAAGTCACGCGAAATTCAGCCTGCGGCCGAATTGAACATTTCGGCCAAACGGTCACAGGTCACAGGCCCGCTGAAATGATCGAAATAGGTCAGTAGTGATAATATTTTATTGACAATGATACTAATCTTCCATCTAGTGATCTATAGTAGATTCTATATATAGTCACAGCTGAATGATCGTGTTAGCACTAGAGCAATATTCTCACTAAGTAGATAACTCATTAGAGACTGTACAGTCAAACAGCAATTTCCTTTTTAGGAAACTTGTCACACTATGTGAAGCATGTAAAGTGTCACTTGGTCACGGAGTCACATACCACTGAGTCACATACCAGTCTCACATCTTATTATCCAAGTCTCACAGTGCCAAAATTATTTATGATTATCTATACTACTGTGGACTTAGAGCAAAAAACCTTGAAACTTGAAATTATTCATTTCACTTTTCAGCGATCATTCATTACTTTAGTATTTTACTCAATCTGAATGCCAAAAATGGTGTGACATGCAGAAAAAAATTATAGCAAATGTGATGTGTGACATTCGAACTGAGTAAAATTACTACAGTACTAGGAGGGGAAGGGGGGTCCCTGGAAAGCCGGAAATTTTTTTCTGATTTTTCAAATCTTGACAAGTCGGTTGCTGTAACTGTTACAGGGTCATCGTCGGTTGGTCTGTAGAAGTTTGCCCAGTGCGGAAAGCTTCTCAAAATCATCCCGAGTCTCGAGAGATGTTGTCGACTTTCTTATCGGAAGTAGGTTCACCGCCCGCGGCCCTGATCTGCTCTGGCGTACTACTATACTGTGTCAAGAGGTCTGTTGATGAAGCTCTGGATGCCAACCCGCCCGAGTCCAACACCGGATTAGAGGCCAAGTGGAGTTCGGGCAGGGGCGCTTAAAGATGCGGCGAACTTGGAGTTTCCGTACGATATCAGAATTGCTGTTGCTGACCATCACTCGAAAGATGAATGTTATCTTGGATGAAAGCCAAGTATAGGTTCGTGGGAGTATGGTTCCGTAAGCGGGCTACATCACATTCTGTGTTGCTCAGCGGACGGATTCGCGTGGCTATGTTGCGCAGGGCCAGAGATAGCTTTGTCAGTCCGAATGTTCTGTGGGCAGTGCCATCAACAAAAGAGTGGAACCACAATCGCGGTACTGACCGCGAATCGATAGGTTACCATAGGTAGCTGCTGGGAAATGATAGAAAACAAGGTTTCCCTTAGACCTGAGCCATGCAAAGCGGGAAAGGACTTCAGAAGTTTCCGCTAGATTCTCGATCAATGACATCCCTGCCAGTCAAACTAGCAGTGTATCTTGAGTGTATCCAATTCAAATTGGACGCCCATGAGTTGCCGAGAGGTCTTGCCTGTGCCCCCGCGAGAAGTAACAGTGCAGCATGTACAGAGCTGCGATAGCGGGCCGTAAGTAATGCTCAAGTAATGCTACCCGGGCCCCTAGGTCACCAGGTGCACAAATGGCATGAGGGGTGGGGCGGCAGATACTGATACTGGTACCATCGTCACATGTATAGTGGGTAGTTCCGTGGGGCGGCTTGTTTGATATCGATATAGCCGAACAAACTTGAAGACAGATACAGTGCCATGGGTTGTTACGGGTGCTGGACTGTGGGAAGTTGAGGAGAGTACCTGAGCCCCAACACGATAGATGTCAAGAGCCGAACAAGGAAACAGTGCAGACAGTGCGTCGTCGGTGCCAGTGGGCGTTGGACTGAGATGAGTGACCAGCCACAGGGGCAAGGCCCTGGTCGGGGTCACCCGAAGATCATGATATCATGCCAATATCATGCATAGGATATGCATTGAGTCCCACTCTGATGGGACAAGTCCCACCAAATTGGCTTAAGCGCTGTCAAACAGCACTGGGAGTGGGACTGGCACGAGTCCCACTCCCACCAAACTCGTATATACTCAGAGATGATGGACGTCAAGAGCAACCCGCAGATCTGTGACGACACCAATCACAGCCAATCTAGTCTCGGTTCGAATCCTTGCAAACATTTATTGTCCAATTTTAATGTCGAGGCCAAATACAGGCGGTGGCAACACAGTAGAATGTCTTAAGAGTCCACTTAGAGATTAGCGTCGGAAACAGATCCGATACTCCTCTGCATCCAGCTCGCCGGGTGAAACCCCCTCATTGGGGGCCATGCGCCGGATGCGGTCGCCACTGAGTCCCTCGTTCTCGACCCGGTGTCGCAGTCCGCGCTTGGACGCGGCCGGGTAGATGCAAACCCTGCGGCCGCGCTTGAGACATTGCCTAGACGGAAATTAGCCACATATTAAACTGCGGTGCAAAGCGGAGCATACCAGCACATCTCTGGCTCGGAATCACGACGCTCGTCGAATCTTCCGCCTGTGCCACACGCGATTTTCCGGGCGCGACAGAACAAACACGACAATGGCTGGCGACGATCCCTAACGGGCTTCACGTTTGCCTCATCGCATGCAGTTGCCGGGCTGCGTTGAGCAGAGGTGATCTGCAAATGTTCATCCGCTTCTGAGAAGCGGGGAGATGGTACATGCGGCGGGGGCGAATATGAGACAATATTTGGGCCGTCAGGGAGGTAGCCGTTCAAAGAATAACTTGTTGTATCCGGTGGAGAGGCCAGGTCCACTCCCTGGCGTCGGCGACAAGACATGTTGGCGGCAAAGCGGTCATTGCTCCAGGCGGGCAGTACTAGTGGAGAAGTCCCATATGTTGGCAGCGATGAGGCGACGAGGCCCGTAGGCAAGTATCGCGTCTCGTGGTAGTGCTCCGCGTTAAATGAGGCGGGGTCAAAGTGAGGCCACGACCGGTTCCAGGCAGACTAAGGTGAAGGCTAGTCAGTGAGATGGCAACGATTCACCGCGCAGACTTACATCTGTTGGAGACGGTGCACTACTAGTAGCGGTAGGTTCCTCGAGTATACGCGTACCCCAGCGATCGGTGGTCCCAGTATCTTCGCGCTTATGCGCATAAGGGTTAGCCAATGGCGCAGGCGCCCATGATCCAGTCGCTGGCACGAAGTAGGTTGGTTGAGGCATCGGGAAGACCGGAGGGAAAACGGAGGGCGAACAGCGCGCGTCACTCCCCTTTTCATAGCTGGCCGTTTGTGGACGTGCCGTGCAGCCAGTGATGCTTGGCTATCGAAGGTTGCCAGTGCTTTTAGACGTCGATCGAGTGTTGGAAGGTTCCGATGCGATAAATTTGTTGTGGCCCGAGGCTTAATTTAGAGCGGAGAAGCTCCGCGGACCCCCAGAGCGGCGTTGTCCTTCCCGAGAAGACCTTTTTGCCGCTATGAGTTGCCACGCTTCGCCTTTTCGTTCACGTTTGGCACTGCCTGTGAGTTTATGGAGCGATTCAGCGTCGAATAATGGCAGGTGTATAAGCACGCACGTATACAAGAGTCAACTCAGAGTGCGTCGGGCTTATCCGTCATCTCTCAGTTGCTGCTATTTCCGTCGGGTCTACCTCGACTCGTCGCTGTTTGGACAACGCGTACCTGTCCTCTGGATGGAGTTGAGAGGACAGCTCACTGGCACCGCGCGGCGGCGGCGGGAGAAGTCACCCCGTGGCGGTTTAGAGAGCGCCCCAAATCAGGATTGGGGGTGCAGGAGACGCCCTGGGGCCCCGTGCCCACTGCCACTGCCCAATACCCATCAGCGAAATGCTATGCGCGAGGGCTGGAGGGTCCGAGCCACTCGGAAGGCGTTCGCCGAGGCCTGATACGTCGAATGCGGTGCCTGCAAGCGACTGCGCAGGGCGAAGCGGAGAGCGCGATGAAGGAGTGCGAAGGAAAAAGGGATGACTCATCCTCGTGTCCGGCGTTGATGTTGAATGCCGCATACTTCCTCGGCACGGGGATCCCGGTCACCGTTGATATCGGAGACTTACTAGTATGGAGTTGCAATGGGGGGAATGTCCTTACTCTTACTATACTCTGGTGATTCTCCTGCCAGTCATTACTTGTTATGACTGTTGTCTTGACTATTGTTATAAGTCGGCACATAATCGTGCTGAGGCCATTGCCATCACGACAGGATCAGCGCGGTCGATCAACGGTAGATGTCGGATCTTCGAGATAGCGCCTATCCTGCCTTGGTGGCCCGTCGCAGATCCGCATCGTCGTAACGCGCCAACGCACTGGTCTATACCTGCGATAGAGGCCTCGTACCACACGGAGTCGCGTCGCGCAGTCGGGAGTTGACTGTAATCAGCGCAACAGGCCCGTCACGCGGATGCGCCAATCAGCTTCTATTGACGGCTGTCACACGTCACCTGCGCAGATCCTTGGCATTTGCGGGTTGCTCTGCACCACCACCATCACCACGTCGAGTACACGACTCACGACGCACGCCGCCGACATCCATGACGACGCACTACGGCCGCGACGACAGGGAGAGAGAGGCGCGCGAGACTGACGCGCTGCTGCCCCGCCGGGAAGATGAGGACGATAGGGATTCGGGGAAGGCCGGGTTTGGGCTGGGCGTTGGGGGTGGGTTTACCTGGTGCGTCTCTCGTTTGGCCTTTGTGTTTCAATGTTGACGATGTTGATAGGCTGCTGGGGGTGCTCCTCCTCTCATCCGTTGCTGTATGTCGGCCCAACCCCATCCAACGTAGATGCTGATCGATCGATGACCCTTGCAGCGCGGCGCCAGCATGCACGCGCGCTTTGAGCATTACCAGGACGAGTTCTGTCCCAGTCCGTCCTTTCCTCCGTAGCTCATACTGCGATGCTGAAGGTGATAAACTTGATAGCGTCCCACCCCGACTCGCCATGCGGCTACTTCGCGCCATACTTCCACCTCCCGGGTTTTACTCTTTGGACTGACTTCAGTGAGTCCTTCCTCTGCTTATCTATGAAGTTCTGACCGTTGCAGCCTCGCGCTTCGCGGCCTTTGTCGTAAGCTTCGTCTCCATCGGTTTTTGGAGCCAGCTCGGCGACACGCGCGGCCGGCGGCCCGTTTTGTTGGGGGTCGTCCTGGGCACTGTCGTCTTGTGCGTCACCTCCTTCCCTTTCCAAACCGAAACTAACGATCGATTGCAGCGATCTGCTTTTCCACGCAGTGGCACTGGCGGGGCCCGCGCTCGGCGAAGAGGAGAAGCGCGATGTGCTCTCGATCGCGTTCATCGTGCAGGGTTTATTGGGTGGCTGGCCCGCGTTCTTCGGGGCTGTTAATGCGTGCGTGTCTGTCTTTGTTGTTATTTTCTGCCGGCTGATACAGGGCAGTTACACCGTGGACGTGGCTAGGCCGAGTAGCAGATTGGTGCTATTTGGTATAGTGGAAGCGGTGGGGATGGTGGGGGTCGTTTTCGGCGGCGCGGTGCGTGGTTCTGCTTCTGTAATCAGCACATGATTGAGTCTTTCCAGCTCGGCGCGGCGATCCGTTCCTTCCGGTACACATACCTCTTCAGCGCGTTACTCGGGGCCGTGAACGCCGGCATCGTGTGGCGGCTGCTCCCTGACTCGAAGCCACAACCTCCCACGGACAGGTACGAGCACGTGCAAAGGCGGGAAGAGTCGCTCGTTGCATCCGTCTTTGTCCCGTTCACGGTGCTCTTCCCCGGTAGTGGGAAGGCGCTGCCGCTGCTCGGCGTCGCAAGCTATGCATACTCGCTCACGGGCGCGCTGGAGACGAGCATGTTGAGGTATACGGAGCTGTATGCTTATCCCGGGTCATCAGGGCGGGTGTGTGCCGTCCCCCACATCTTTCAGATCCAAATGCTTATTATCCGTAGACTCCCATCCTCTGGGTGATCTACCTTCTCCCCCGCATCTTAACTCTCGCCACCCTGCTCCTCCTTCCCCGTCTTCTTCCCCGATCCCCACGTGCCGGGCTACACGTGCCGCATGAGCTTACGCGCACCTCTTTACTCCTACTTTTACTCCTTCCGTTAACAATCACGCTCTTCTGCGCGCGCGTCGGGGACCACACCGGTGCGCCTGTCCTCTACGCTGTCTGCGCGCTGCTCCTCCCGTCCATCGCGCGGCTGCCGGCGCTCGGCACACGCGCCCTGGCGGTGGGATTCCTCGAGCGGGCGGGGCGGGGAAGGGATGTAGGCACTCTGATGGGCGCCTTGGCCCTGTGGGCGGAGTTAGGGGCTGCGATTTCGGTAAGCGTCATTTCCCTGTTGGGCAGTGGTCACGGTGCTGATGGGATGAACAGTATGTGGACTTGTCGTATGCGGGCGCGGGGATGTTCATGGAGACGGGCGTGTGGGCGTTCATCGCGCTCGTGTGCGTCATGCCGGACCCGCCCGCGCCGGTCCCCGTTGCGCCGGTCGGGGAAGGGGAGCGGAGGAGGCCGGAGGCGTAGGCGGTAACTGATTAACGACTTTATGCTCTTCTCTGGATTGGATTGTACTAGTTATAATGTGTGCGATGATTTATGGACCCAAGCCCAAGACGAGGATGAGCAGGTGTGACTCGGGGTCGCCAGTCGGGTGACAGAAAAAATATATAGCAAGTATAGTATATATACAACTTGGAGGATGAAGGCTGAATATCCTCAAGCAACTTTGATGCATGTCGCTTGCACTTGCCGAAGTTCATTGAGTGCTCCAATGTAAACAGACCACAGGGCGCACTTTGGCGGCCCGGGCCGGCTGGATGTATAAGACGGGACCATAATTCTTTGCAGGTTGGGCAATTTATTTGTCGTCGATTCAGATCTCTGTCCGCCGTGTGCAGCTTCACTTAGCAACGAGCAGAGCTGACTTATCCTGCGCGAGGACTAGGCATGCCTCAGGAACGCCGCACAGGCTGTTCTGTTCGCTCCACCCATTGGCCAGGTGCATCCCTGAAATCCCTGAAAATGGTCTTGGCTCTCGGCTAGGATCCTTTTCGGCTCGGCCTATGTACGTATTACATGCAGAACAAATCCAGAGGACCGTCAATCGATCCAGCTTGTTGCCTCCCAACAGCCTAAGGCGAAGCAAAACAAATGGCATCTCCGTGGCTTGAACACGGGACCTTCAGATTTCAAACAACTTCAGTCTGCTGCTCTCCCAGCTGAGCTAAGACGCTGGCGGAGGTTGAACGGCCGCGCACATCACGGCGACGGATCATTGAGCTGGCCAAGACACAGTGGATTGCCTTAATCACAATGAGCAGTACCTCCGACGATGTGATCACAACAGTGTAGAGAAATCTATCATCGTCTTGGAGGTCACTTACCTGCATGTATATCAGGTGTGAATACCTCCAATGGTTTATCTGTGCCTTTTTTTTCAGTTGGTGCCATCACACTCGTTGATCTCATGTCACAGTTAGATCACAAGCCATCAAACCCATCAAAAACTTGTTGGCAACTTATCTCCTCAACTGCTGAGCCGTTTTGCGTCATTCTTTAACTGTTTTGAAGCCAAAGATGTCAGTTACTACTAATACAAAGAATTGCCATACTATACAGTGCGAACTTGCTGGTTATAACATAATCCCACTACTCACACACACAGCTTACAATTAATGTGTTAACAAAACAGCTATAGCAGTACACAAGTTCCACAATATCTAGTCTATAGCACCGTTCCCTGAGAAATCTAAGTTTTAGTCTTTTCCCTTTTCTGTATACCTCCTTTCTTAACTATAGGCTTCCCCTTCTTTCCATCTCTTGTCTGTTCACAGCAGCATCCAAAACAGCACAACAAGCAAACACATGGGGCAATAAGAAAATGTTGGCCACTCAGATAAACTGGCACGAGCTGCAAGCATTTGATCTGTAGTTATTGCATTTGTGATTATCTGTATAATGGCGGTGCTCTGGGCCCTTGACTTTGTCTGAGATGAACATATGTTATAGCTTGTCATTGTCACGGCCAACATATGAGCTGACATAGAAATGGACATTCTCAGGACCTGAGAACCATAAGAAGCCTTACAAAAGTCACAAAGGAAAGACTTACAATCTCTGAACTAAGCCAGCAAGGTATCCTTAGAAGTGGCCTTGGGCTTCTGCCAGGGACCCTGCTTTGAAGTGACAGGCATAAAATGGTTTGGAGCCCTGGTCAGCAGATCAGAGTCTTGGTGTCGCTTCAGCTTCACGTTAATGGCCAGGATACGAAGCTAGTGAATGTTGTCTTTATCATCAGCATGAATAAACATGTCAAGTGGTGAAGGAGGGAGTGTCTTCATGAATGCATAGTCGTTACTATGGATCAGTCCCTTGACTGTGCTGCTGTACATAGAAAGTACTTCTTCTACAGGTATCTTAACCAAACTAAACTGATTGAGGATATCTTCATTCAAGCTGGCCTAGAGATGCTGATACATTGTGGTGCAAAATGTCATGGGCAAAGATAAACTGCTCAATGGGAAGAGTGAACTTGTTTTCCTGCATAGGTCAAGTCTTATTGTCAATGCAGTAGTGCTTAGAGTTACGATGATTTGCAACACCCGTCCAGCCACATCTAACTATGTCACAAGTGGCCATTTGCGACACAGAGAGGATTTCTTCGACCACATACATTTAAGCACAAGACAGCTGGCCAAGAGCCCCTTGGTCACTTGTGCAAAGTCAATAGCCTAGTGATGCTCAGGTCCGGTTCGGTCCGGTTCTCGGCCACTTTTGGCTGAACCGAGAACCCCAGGTTCGGTTCAAAATCGGGATTTCCCGAACCTGAACGCCGAACCTCGGTCCGAACCGGCCTCTGAACCGGCGTTTTCGGCCTAATTTGGCCGAACCCAGCCAAACTTGGGCCTCGATTCAGTTCAAAACCGGGGTTGGCCGAACCTGAACCCCGAACCTGGGTTCAGTCCGGTCTGGTTCGGGTTCGGACCGACTTTCCGAACCGGACCTGCCCATCACTACAATAGCCAGAGGGTTAATCTTGAGTTGGCAGCCTGTATTCCAGAACACCAAGTGTTGTTGATTTGCAGCAGCACCAGCCACACCAGTGATACTGCATCCCTTAGCATTTACCATTTGCACTTGCAACCACGTTTACTCCATCCTTCAACCCCCAAAACCATTGACGGAATTTGCAGGAGAGAATGTGAACATTTGCGTTGCGGGATGGTTACGGTTCGGCTTAAAACCGTAACAGCCGTAAGATTACGACTGCCACGGCCATCGGTATGGGTCAATGGGTAGGTGGACATTTGATGCTGGAACAGCATGTCCACACCGGGTAACTAATGCCCACATGACGAGTTCTTCCCTGCATCCTTATAATAGACATCTCGACAATACCTAGACTTGATCTGGACATCACTCCGACAACCGCCAACCAACGGTATGAGCCGTGTGTGTCACGCGCCAACCGTATCAGGGATGACCGGGCATAAGGAACTGAACGAAGGATGATAATACACAAGCTGCAGGAGGTGAAGAACATAACTTGAAGGGCCCTCAATGGCTCCATGATATATTTAGGCAGTAAGATGCCATATCTTGTCATATTCAATGATATCTTACTGTCAAACCTGTTTCGTAACCGTAATGGCCGACCCGTAGCCGTTGCCATGCCATCAGCCCTTTGATGAACCAGACCCATGGCTATGGTTCTGGTGACCATTGCCGTAGCCAACCGTCACAATCAATGGCCGTTACCATTACGGTAACCGGCGGTATCACTAGTGACAGAAGGCTGCAGTGAAGGCTATGGAATTATCCATGTTTGATCATAGACCATAGATCTGTATGTGTAGGTAAAGGTTCTTGGGTTTCCTGGAGCAAGAGGTCTTGATGATCATTATAGGCTAGATTTAAGATACTCTGGAAAAAAAATCTTTATGCAGCCCAACACCTGTTTTTGCATCCTAGTATCCTCCAGTAACACCACACCAATTCTCCTGAGGAACATCCTTTCTAATGTCCAGCTATAAAATATGTCCTCTCGACATGGTTAACACTTCAACCAAATCTTGTTTTATGTCTTGAAGAGCTCTGGAGCTGACCTGAAGAAATTCTACATCCTTAAGCAGATCTGCCTCACCATCAACAAGGTTGCAAAGATTCGTCTTGAGCTCTATTGGAGTGTCATAGGAATTATAGCTTGGGATATGCCTTAACACTACTTGGACTTAGTTGATCACATTTTGTATATGTTCATCTACCTTAGATCGTGGCAGGAAACTGCCATAGGCTGAGTTGAGCAGCTAGTTGTCACTAACGGCACACAGAATAACCTTAGTATCAGAAAAACGGTTGTCAAACTGCATTTCCTGTAAGTTGGTAGTAAAGAGAATCTCCAAGACCGTATTTGTTTCAATTTCCAGGCCTAGAGACTTAATAAAGTTGACAAATCAACAGTGTGTATCTGCCTTGACATTGTGGACAGATTGTTTACCTGGCTAATATTGTTGTGTAGCATTGTTAATAAAAGCATTGAGATTGAAGTTGCTTCGATCCCAGGCCATGGCAGCAAGGAAATCGACCAGATAGGCAGGCAGCAGAGACTAGACAGCTGCATCAGGGGGAATAGACAACTAGTTACCGGAAGCTAGCTAGATATTGACCATACTCTAGACATAGCCAAGGCTGTTAGGCAAGACAGGCACACTCTACATAGCTGTCTCATCTACAGCTAATTCTCTGAGGATATCCATCATATTGACAGAGACTTCACCTGTACGCTCTATGCCAGTATCTCGAATATGTTCCTGATACTCTGTCTCATTGTCAGCAGCCTTGCTCCATCTGGCTATTTATCACTGGAAATTAACCTGTGCCTGCTTAGTTGATTATGTGTAATTAGCATCTTAATAAATAACTCGTGCTGTTTCACATACTAGAGGAGTCATCTCAGAGCCATTTCTATATGTTAGCATATAGCCCCACAGACTAGTGCTTTCCCAGTTGATTATGTGTGATTAGCATTTTAATAAATAACTCATGCTATTCCATATATCAGAGGAGTCATCTCAGAGCCATTTCTATATGTTAGCATATAGCCCCACAGACCAGTGCTTTCCCCCCACATCTATATAATTATAGTCAGAATCACTGTCTGAGAAGTTGCTCCGTGCTATTAGTTTCTGTATCATAGTGAGCTAAGGTCTACCATAGAACAAACATTACTCACCTTATACTCCTTGCCCTTGTAAGGGAAACCCCGGAGGCCTGAGATCAAGGTCTAGCAGGTGAGGATCTAAAGTGTGAACATTGGTAAGCAAATACAAATAAAGCTGACCTAGCAGGGGAGGATCCAAAGAGAAGAAACTCTGAGGGTCTGCCTGCTAGGTAGCTGACTATATACTGCTTGTCTGTAGCTGCCACTATCAGGCACAGAAGGCTTGGGCGGTGTCGCAGGCAAGGTCCCAGGGTGATCGTTAGGAGGGTGTTGATGGATCGGTGATTGTGCGGGCGAGATGGAG